AAAAAAGGTGTCAACAGAGGGCAGAAGACTAAAGCATGCTCTTCATAATAACGGCGAACGTACAAATAGTCGTAATTTATGTTGAGTGAACCATCTATATAGCAAACAAATATATATGCATGCAACCTAAAGCGGAACTAATTAAGGGAAGCAAGAAACATGCAAACGTTTGTAGCAAATATTTGCTCACTTCAAAAAGGTTTCACCACCAAAGATATTAATTATGTTTACTAAGCCGGCTCACAGTATCTTTCTCCTCATCAGTCATGGGCTCCCACACAAAGGTGAGACCCCAATCAAATCCTCCACGAAGGTACTCAGTTGCAGGATAGTCCTGCCCATCCTCCGTAAACGCACTGATAAAAGGGCTTAGAACCAGGAGATGAGGACTAGATTTGAACCGTTCAAAGTAGAGAAGACGAAGGACAAGGGGTTCCAACCAACCTTTATCAAAACGAATGTGCGAATCAGCAAAAACTAAAACTTTTCCTGAAGCCTCATTAGCACCAATGATGCGAGATCTAATGAGTCCCTGCCGGAACGTATTGCGAACCACTAAAACCTACAAAAATAATGCAAGCACACCATAATTATGCTACCGACATTTACCTTTATTTCGAAGCTGTATAAACTTAGGTCAATTGCCGGTTGACTGCAGTCGTCAACTACTATTACTTCTTTCAAAAGAGCGTGGGAAGTGTTCTCAAGTAAACTTTCTATTGTGTAATTCAAAATGTGTTTACGTTCATTATGTGCAACAATAACAATCGATATAATTGATTGTGGAACACCCTTGCCAAGCATTGACGTAGTTTCCTTTAACCATCGGGAGCATTCACTGCTTTGTTTGCTTCCAATGTTGTCAAAAGTTTTGCATCCCAAATTTTCGCGGACTTTACACTGCTCATTGAAAACTATGAGAGGATCATCGAGGCTTAGTGAGGATTGATAGAAACCGGAGTTATCCAAAATTAAAGCAAAAAATAAAACAATGCTGCACTTATTTGATATCAACATCATTCAACTGGTTCTAAAATAAAGAAAACGTCACGAAATCCAAGTGCTTTAATGTAAAGACAACTTCCAGATCATATTACACTACCCATTACTTTTTCCAACACAAATATATTCAGTGTTATTCATAGTATTTAAATTATTTAGATGGATTACAAAGGGCGGGAGTAAGTTAATTGTGGGTACGCAAGCAGCAGAAGACGTCCATAAAATCCAAATCCTAATGCTACTTAGGATTATTTATCGGCATGAAATATATAAACACTTCATTGAAAGCATTTCAATAAAGTAGTTTAAAGATACAGAGCCAACAAATTATATCTGAGTACACTAATACAAGGGCAGGTTTTCTACTTCAAATATTGGGTGATGAATATTGTAAGCGTAGATAAATGCCCAGAAGTAACAGCGTCAAATTACACAACTGATAAGTGATTGAAGTCGCAACATCACTAAAATTTTGAAACAGGGGAAATACTCATTGTCTCTCAAACTTGAATAGCCGTAAGGTAAAGCAGAACTTCCATAGATTGCATACACCTTTCAACCTTCCTTTAAAATAAAAACAGCTTTAAACTTGTGAACACTATAGAAGGCAAATGATGAGTTCAAATTTCGTACTTTCGTTAGTAGGCAATACCAGACCACGGGTGATCATTTTGTGCACTTATACTAACTATAACTCAAGGTCGAACTCAGGATCACGTGTTGATAAACTTCAACAAAGTTGTCAGCGCACTTTATGCAGTCAATTTCACAGTGTTGCACAAAAATTTTTCCACCACATAGTAGAGATATTAAGTGACATGACTATCATCTACTAGTAAAAGCTTACACCCAAATGTCTTATCCAGCCCCACGTGAAACGCTTGCTGAGACGCTAAACGCCCCCCAACCACAATACCGGAATCGGACCTTCGTACACCACCACCCGAAGCGCCACCCCACACCGGAACCTCCGACCACGCCCACCCAGCTAGCAGAAGAACGAAGTCCTGACAAGCATCACCAATAGGATAAAAGGACAATGTCAGTCAGAATCCGAATACTTCAAAGTATTCGAATCCCCTGACTTCAACGATAACAATCGAGTTAGGGCATCGCATGTAAGACCAAAATCATTGCAGCAGACATCCTCCCACGGGATTTCCTGCAAAATTAAATGCCATAATTTGTGTTCACGGTCTGAGCTTTCAGAACAACTCAGCTCACTTCAATTAGGGTATTTTCTTCCATAAAAAGCATCGCTGAACTGTCGTAGAGTTTAGGTTCTGCGAATGTTTGTGGAGTAGCTGATGACTTGATGCTCGAGGTGCGCATGTATACATCCTGCAGTAAATCTAAATTGCACTTCAAAACCTCATGAAGTGTTAGTAGAGCGGCGAAATCTGAAAACCCCATAAAATTTCTGGTTATGCTTAGTCCACAAAAATGGCTAAGAGCTGAAGCAGTACCAGATGTCACAATGGAGTGTTAAGAGCATCAACTTAGAAAGGTTTAAACTTATGCTGCAAATATCAACCCTCACCTGAATGTTGGACAAGGCGAAGTTGCTGAATTATTTGGAAATGACGTTCCCCTGGAGTCTTCTTTTCGGTTACAAAACTGCATAATCATAACATGCATGTAAAAGGAAAGCTTGTTATTTTGCATTTTTGCAAATAATGATAATCACCTATCGTAATCGGAGTACGCTTCAAGACATCTCCTAAAATTCACACGAGAGGAATCGATCTCTAAATAGTAGGAAAAAGAAAAAGCTGCATCTCACCTTCCACTGAGTTGTCAGTCAAGATGTCGATGATCTTAGAAAAAATTCTGTGGCATTCGAGTTTTACATTGCTATTTAGTGAACTGTTGTCTACCCGTCGCTTAAGAGACGCGAGAATGACCGAGATCCCAATGGATCCTCCTAAAGAA